CCCCCTTATTTGGCGTGTATTTGGTTTAGAAAGCTTGCATGTTGGTCCCGTGTTTACGCTAGTAGGATGTTTAACTCGCATTTTAGATTCACAATCGAATTTGGTTATCTTTTGCTACTTTTTCCTCGCATATATATATATATATATATATATATATATATTGTTTACACCTTGTTTTTATATAAATCAACTTTTTTTATATGTAAATAAGAAAATTTTATTGTGAGGTAAATATATGAAGACATCTCCAAACTACAAGGGAAAGTGTATTTTCGAAGATTTTTTGCACAAAGTTTTTTTTGTATTCGATAGTCTTCTTTGTTTTACATTTTTTATTTTGATTATTTTCACCTCGTTTTATTTTATTTTATTTTTATCTTTGATATGAGAAAAACATGAGGTAATGCCTTTTTGTGAGGAGAATCTATTGAAAAGTCTCCTAACTACAAAGGAAGTGCATTCTCAATGATTGTTCACACAAAAAATACATTCTTTTATCTTAACATTTATAAAAATTTAATATAATACTATACTTATATCATCCATAAAATTAAAGAAACACCGTTCTGTGAGGGGAATTTATGGGAAAGTCTCCTAACTGTAAAGGAAGTGATTTACGGGGATTGTTCGTACAAAATGATATGATTTCTCTTATAAAAATAATTATATTTTTTTGGGTTAAATAAATAGCTTTATTTTATAAAAATATATTTTGAGCTCTTTAATCTTTTTGTTACCCGCTGCATATTTTATTTTTCATCAAATTTTTATTTCCTTATTTACAAAAGTAACATTTTTTATTTTTTCTAAATTGACATCTTATAAATAAATTCAAATAAATAGAAGGATTGTAATTTAAATATATTTTTGAGTTTTTAATTTCCCAACATTTAAACATTATATAATCATTTAGGTACTAAACTTGGACGAGAAGGTGTTCATCATTCCTCACAACTAATCGACTCTCGAACTCTTAAAAAAGAATATTTGGTAAAACACATCATTTTTCGTCTTTTAATGATTTTTTTGAAATCATTAAAATGATGTTTAAGGTTTTCAACTTACCTAACTTAAAGGTTGGCGACGACTCCAAAATCAAATTGTTTTTTTAAAATTATATTTCTTCACCTCCCCAAATTGAATTAATTCTTTAAAGTCTAACGGATCTCTGAGGGAGACGTTATGACACAAGAAATATCAGCGAGATAACAAATGAGTGTCTTTTTTATTTGTCGTAGCTGAAAGAATGTAATTTCATGCCTTTATCATTACCAAAAGGGTTCAATATATACACAGTTATTAGTAGATACAATCTTGACAATTAGGCTATAATTTAGGCAACTAAATATACAACAGTAAATACAAAATATTTGAAGAATATTTCGTAGTCTATCACTCCCCCGCAATCGAAACGGGTGGATCTCGAACATTAAGACTGGTCCAGAAATCGTCAAACAATATAAGGGGCAACCCCTTAGTGAAAATATTCGCAATCTGGTACCTAGACGGCACATGACTAACACGAACCTCACCCCGTGCAACTTTTTCTCGAACAAAATGAATATCCATTTCAATGTGCTTCGTATGCTGGTGTTGAATGGGATTTCCAGAAAGATAGATAGCACTCACATTGTCGCAGTAAACCATTGTTTCTTTACGGATGGGATAATTGAGTTCGAGAAGAAGATTACAAAGCCAACAAGACTCCGAGACAACATTGGCAACTCCCTTACATTTTGCCTCGGCACTAGATCGGGAAAGTGTAGACTGTCGTTTGGACGACCATGAGATCAAATTGTCACCCAAAAAGACACAATACCCGGAGGTGGATCGTCGAGTATCGGGACAACCTCCCCAATCCGCACCAGTATAAGAGACAAGATCGGTAATGGAGGAATGAGAAATATGTAAACCAAGATGAAGAGTACCTTGGATATAGCGGATGATACATTTGAAAGCTTTCATATGTTCATCCCGAGTGTCATGCATATAGAGACAAATCTGTTGAACTGTATAGGAAATATCCGGCCGCGTAAAAGTGAGATATTGCAGGGCACCTGCAAGGCTGTGTTACTGCGTTGGATCAGCATATCATGCACTGCTGGTGACACTCACCTTCGGCTTGGTATCAACTGGAGTCTGACTAGGCTTACAAGAATGCATGCCTGCTCGATCAATGACGTCCTCAGCGTATTTTTGTTGTGATAAAAACAACCCACCCTTGTGTCGAGTCACACGGATGCCGAAAAAATAGTTCAAGAAACCCAAATCCTTCATAGGAAACTCAGAGTTGAGATGATCCATTATAGACTTGTGGAGATGCTTAGAAGACACCGTCAAAATAATTTCATCAACGTAAAGCAGTAGGTATGCCATATCCAACCCGTGTTTGTAAAAAAATAAAGAAGTATCCGATTTACTATTAGAGAAACCAATGGAAGAAACAAAATCAGCAAACCTCTTGTACCACGCTCGAGGGGCTTGTTTGAACCCATAGAGAGATTTACGCAGTAAACAAACATAATCAGGATGCACTTGATCTCGAAATCCCATAGGCTGATGCATATAAACCGTTTCTTTGAGGTCACCATGCAAAAAAGCATTGCTTATATCTAACTGATGAATCGACCATTATTTCGATAGGGCAAGACTAAGCACGGTACAAATTGTTGCTGGCTTCAGAACCGGACTGAAAGTCTTTCAACAATCAATACCAACACGCTGAGTTTTACCATCACCTACAAGACGGGCCTTATGTCTCTCAAACGAACCATCAGACTTTATTTTATGAGTAAAAATCCATATAGAAAAAATGACATTAACTCTAGGAGGGCGAGGTACCAAATCCCACGTCTTATTTTTATTAAAAGCATCATATTCGTCAGTCATAGCCAACTTCCGATTCGGGTCACGAAGTGTAGCCACAGGGTTATGGGGGAGAGGAGATCTCGTAACCGTGATAGTATGGGCCTCAGATGGGTCAAATATAGTTTTTAACGTAAAGATACCATGCTGGCTGCGGGTGACAAGGCATTCGAATGGAACAGGAGGCGGTCTGGGCCGAATTGGTGAGGAGTCTGGAGGAGATGAGACCATGAACACTCTGCTCACAGGTGAGTGAGATGTTGGAGAAGACATGATTGGCTGGGCCGTATGAGAAGAAAGTGGAGGCTGTTGTGGTTGGTTTTGATGAATAAGATACGTCGACACACCATCATTCAAAAAATCATAATCACCGGTACTAGGTTGATAGACTTTGGCAAAAGGGAAGACAGTTTCATAAATTGTACATGTCGGCAGAATATAATTTTATTATTGGATAAATCAAAACACTTATAGCCTCGATGATTATCGGGATAACCTAAGAAAACACAGGGAGTGGATCGAGCTTGTAATTTGTGAATAGTCGTGGATGAAATAAGAGGATAACACAAGCACTCGAAAACCCGAATATGAGAATAAGAGGGAACCCGGTGATATAAAATTTGTAGAGGAGACGCATCGACTAGTAGTGTACTAGGAAGAATATTCAAAAGATGGGTTACCATATGAAGCGCATGATGCCAAAAAGAGTGTGGCAAAGAGGCATAAATAAGTAGTGTGCGTATGATATTATTAATGGATTTTATTTTTCGTTCGGCCTTCCCGTTATGTAAGGAGGTATAAGGGCAGGAGAAATGAAAAGAACTGTCATGGAACTCACAGAATTGCCGAAAAAGAGGTATTATCAAACTCTCCCTCATTATCACATTGTATGGTTTTGATATCTCGTTCAAACTGGGTACGAATATGAGCTTGGAATTTAGTAAAAATGGAGAATACTTGTGATTTATTAGCAATGGGAAAAGTCCACAAGAATTTTGAATAATCATCCAAAAACAACACATAATAATGATGTCCCGAAGAACTCAAAACCGGAGAGGTCCAAAGATCACTATGAATAATATCAAAAGGCATGAAAGTTTGAGAAGTTGAAAGAACAAAAGGCAACTGAATATGTTTTCCAAGTACACAAGATTGACAAGTAGTAGACTTAGATGGACTATTACAAGCAATCAGTTTATTTTGCTGAAGAATAGATAAAATGGAGTCGCCCGGGTGACCTAAACGGTCATGCCAAAGTGTTGAAGCAAGCAAGGCTGTAGGAGAGGAGGCTGGATGCGGCCTGGTGGGAGTGATTGGGTAGAGAGAGCTAATACTATCACATCTTATTAGACATCTCCTCGTCTGTAAATCATGCACAGAAAACCTACAAGGATCAAACACCACTGACACATATTATCAGTTGTAAATTTCCTATCATACACTAAATTTTTAATAAGATTCGGAGTATGCAATACATGTTTGAGAGACAAAGGTGGGTTCATATAAGGTAATAAGGTATGACTGTACCCACGAATTAGAATTGACTGACCACTACCAACAATAACATTATTATCTTTTCTCATATTAACATAAGACGAGAGATTACCTTGTGTTGATGTCATATGAGACGTCGCCCCGGTATCCATATACCTGTTTGGATCCGGTTGAGAGAGAGACATGGTGTGCATGGCGGACTCAATATCCGTCAGAGCCCACTGAGACGCTGTAGCATAGGCTTGCTGCTGCTGGGGTCGTGCTCCCAGAATACTAGGCTGCCGTGGTCCAAATTTCCTACCCCAAGGTTGAGTTAGATATGGACAAGGAGGCAGGGCCCAAGGTGGTTGCATCCATGTGCACCAAGGAGGCATAACCAATGGTGGTTGCATCGGACCCTGCTGACCACCATCCAAGTTCGGACCACCTCCACGGTTGCCACCACGTCCATCACCAGGCGTCTGACCTCCACTACTAGTAGGTTTGCGGTTTTTGTTGTTGTTGCGGTGCTTGTTCAGTTTCCCATGTGCGTGACCTGGAGGAGGATGATTAGAAATCTCATCAGTATCACGATTAGTCACCACCATCGCATCATCAGTCGTCGCCTCCTTCATGCTAGTTTCTTCTAAGGCCAACATCGATCAAACTTCATAAAAAGGTGGTAGTACCTTTTTGTGGCGATTAACAGAAGCAACTCCCTTGTAAGCCGGTGTGAGACTACCCACCATGCGAAGAACAAGACGATTGTTCGAAACCGGAGCACCCACATTCTTGAGTTGGTCGGAAAGTGTTTTGAGGTATTGGCAATATGCAGAAACCCAGGAGAAATCCTTCAAGTAGGTGTTGTTGAACTCGTGTTCCAAGGAAACGGCACGAGAGTTGTCATTATCCTGAAACAAATCGCGAAGATGATTCCATAGAGTCATGGTAGAAACATCGGCTTCAATAACGGTGTTCAAGAGATCTGTCGAAATCGTGGAATAAATCCACTGAACCAAAACAGCATCCAACGTATCCCACAGCTCTTGTTCTTCCTGACTAAGGGTGGTCGGCTCTGTGGCCTTCTCGTCCTTAGATTTCGGTGGGATAATATGATGAAGAACCTTGTGAGATCAACAATGGACCTTGAATAACTCCGCCCAATTTGTATACTGCACGTTCTCCATCTCAAGAGTGATGGGAACATGTGTCTTGATTTTAGAAACAAGAAGAGCAGGGTGAAAGGATGAGGAAGATGATGTGGGAGTCATGTTAGACGGAATGACAGAAGATAAAGAAGAAGATGAAGAAAAAAATAGGGTTACAGAAGCTAGAATAGATCAACCGTAGCTGATACCATGAAAGAATGTAATTCCGTGCCTTTCTCATTACCACAGGGGTTCAATATATACACAGTCATTAGTAGATACAATCCTAACAATTAGGCTATAATTTAGACAACTAAATATACAACAGTAAATACAAAATATTTGGAGAATATTTCGTAGTCTATCAGTAGCAACGTCAAATCATGTTATAATGATAGACTTATTAGAAACATGATAGACTTATTCAAAACAAAAAAGATAAAATACGAGATAAAAAATAAAAAAATATTAACTACGGCAATCAACAGTTAACAATGATTTAGAGAGAAAAACGGCTGCATTAGTTTGATAAATTTAACCTTTTATAATGACTTTGATTTTTTTTCATTAAAGCATAAAGAAATGATATTAGAAGCTAAATGAAATTGATCAATTTTGATTATTTGAATAAATTGTCTAATTTATAGGCTGAAGTGAATCTCGTATAGGTGATTTTACCCAAAACAAAATCCTCCTGACATGAAATAATTACCTATCAGGCACCGTTTCGTCAAATTTTACCAATCTAGCACCCTTTCTGATGATCCGCGCCTTTACAGGGTTTCGTCCAAGCTGACACCACATCATGAAAGGCATGAACGATCATCCGCGCCGACACCACGTAGGGACAGGTGTGGATCAACATCCGCGCCTTCACAGGGTTTTATCCGAGGTAGCACCACGTAAAGGATCGGATCGTCATCCGCACCTTAGCATTTTAAAAAAATATGCTATAAAAAATTTAAAAAATAAAACTATAGGGGCTAACATTAAAATTTAATACATATTAGTTCCATGAGTTGAAGAGTTTAATGGGGTTAGCTTATATAGACATATTGGAGTGTTTATGTTATTTTTTTTGACAATGTGGGATATTGGGGTTAGCTTAATGGCTGTTAAAGATCTTGTGATAACTCCAAATGTACTCTTGTTGTTTCGAAATTAAATGAAGCTCAGAAAACAATTTTGCCATAATTTTCACTTTTTTTTTTTGTCATTTGCTTATCGTTGTGGCTATTTTTTTTATGCAAATAGAAGCGATTAGTTTTATTTTTTTTTTAAATATAGGTAGAACTGAATAGTATTAAATTGGCAACTTAACATAAATCTGGTATCATAATGGTTTTCAAGGTTATTGTTACACTGCAAATTTACGATGTAACATGTATTAAAGTTGGTCGAGCAGGCTTGGCAAGAGACAGTAACCGAATCAAATTTGGGTAATGTGAAGGAAATCCTTGAAGCAGAACCACCGAAGTGGTTGGCAGACAGTGTTGATTTTTCTTGTATGCTATGTGGTGTGAGGTTTTACCCAATCATGTGCTTTAGACACCAATGCAGGTTTTGTGGGGGAACATTTTGTGGTGAGTGTTCTAAAGGTAGGAGTTTAATGCCGGGGAGTTTCATGTTGCTGATCCACAACGTGTCTGCGATGTATGCTGCCTGCGACTCGAGTCTGTCCGGCCATGTAGTTAGCAATTCTGCTCAGCTGCCGGCTCATGACGCGACTGACTCGACTACATTGAGATCTTGGGTCCTGGGAGGGTCCATGGAACATGAAACGAATGTGGGACGTAATGAGCAATATTGTTAAATTAAGTTGTTTTCCATTTTTTTCCCCTCACTATTAAGGGCTACGTCTGCCAGGAACAAAAGATGTCAAAATTTTTACTAGAAATGCACATCTTTCTTTCTAAGATGGTCTGAGCGCGGTCGTAGCCATTGTAGGACGGACTGCAGAAGTTGATTTACGAGCTGGTGATGGTGGTTATACATATAGCTGCAGCAAAGGTATCCATTATTATTCCCGGCAAGCGGCAGCTGCTGCTCCTGATTACAACCAGGATAATATGTTTATGTCCTCTTTGCATTATTATCTTGTTTAGGGTCAATGCCTCGTCCACCTGCCGCTGCCTGAAGGTCCAAATCCAACTGAACGTGAATCTTATGTACATGAACGGTTTACAATTCCATACCATCATTCTTTGCCTGTGTAAACTTACAGTCCATATTGTTCAACAACATTCAAAATCATAAAGAAAAAAAATAAAGATATGTACTTTCATTTGTGTTCCTGGCCAAGATATTCTTTTGAATGCTGCATCCGTCGAGGTCGGAATTCCAGCCTAAAGGGCAAAACTAGCTTAACGTAAGGGATCCATCCAAGTGCTCCTCATCTATCCTTGGCCTTAGCAAAAAAGTTTAAAAAAAAGGGAAAAAAAAGGAAATATTGATTATTCTGTGCGGCTGCAGAACAATAATTCACAAGGCAGCACCATAATTTCATTACCACTGTCAGACCTTTGCCAATTTAATACATATTCTTTTTTTTAAATAAAATTAATTGCTTCTATTTATATAAAAAAAATTAGCTACAACAATAAACAAATGACATAAAAAACAGTGAAAATTATGGTAAAATTATTTTGTGATTCATAGAATTTCAAAACAATAAGAGTAAATTTGGAGTTATCACAAGATCTCTAACAGGTCCATTAAGCTAACCCTATTATCTCACATTATCAAAAAAATCATAACATAAACACTCCAATTTATCTATATAAGCTAATCACATCAAGTTATTCAACTCATGGAGTTAATATGTACTAAATTATAATATTAGTCCTTATAATTTTATATTATTTTTATTTTTAAAGCATTTTTTTAAATGCTAAGGCATTGATGATTATATGCGCATTCCCTTATGTGGTGTCAGCTCGGATAAAACTCCGCGAAGGCGCGGATGGTGATTCGCGCCCGTCTCTACATGGTGCCAGCTCGGATAAGGTACGGATGACCATTTGTGCCTTTCATGACGTGGTATCAGCTCAAACAAAACTCCGTAAAGGTGCAAATAATGATTTGCGTCTTGTTAGAAAGGGAGCTAAATCGGTAAAATTTGATAAAACGATGATTATAAGATAATCATTTTCTATCATAGTGAATTTTGGGTAAAATCGCCAAGTGAGTCTCGTATAATGGTAAACTAATCTGGGACTGCAAATTGGGTTGGTACTTGGGAGTAACTTCAGCTTAGATTCTGACATGAAGGTGACCGGCCGGCTTTATTGAATCAAATGGGAATTGGATCATGCTTCACACCATTAACTTCAACCTCAAATTGTGGACCAAATATCCCCGACCATCACCCTTATCGTCACATCAAATCTCTAAACTTAAATCCTTAAAATATTAAAAACTCAAATCCTTAAATTCTAATTACTAATCACCGTCGGACGCCCACAAAATATTAAATTCAACGTCGGCCGCCTTCAAGCTTTGCTTTACTGTGATGCGCTGTTGCTGTGGAGTCGGTTATGCAAGATAGAGTTTGCAAACAGAGGCTTAGAGTGTGCAAGCCATGATGTATGGATAGAGGTGCTGAATGGGTCATACTGAAACTAGATTCAGTCAAATCACAATTAGAGCACATATCAGTACCAAATCACAAAAAAATTCACCAAGCTAGATTTTGAATCACGAGTAAGCAGATATTAATTACCAAATTGCATAAACATTCTCGGAATACCAAAATTATGTTCGACTAGTACATAATACTAAATCCAAAAGATGAAAAAAAAAACTGTTTATGAAATAAACACAGTAAAAACCCTAACCCGATCATCAATCCTCGTCAGGATCGACACCTTCATACACCCATTCGTATTGTGCCCTCAACTCGGCTTCTTCCTCTGGCGTATAATCATTCTCTATTCCGAAAAACTTCCTCACATACTCCACGCTCTTATTCTTAATCCTGTCAGCTGCTCCCTGATTCAGCATATCAAGCATATCCTTAATATTCAGATAATTAACTGACAAAATCAACTCGATCAGCGACTCATTGTCTTGAGCCTTGACCAACTCTTCATCATAGGCCTTGCCTTCATCCACCACCGAAGAGGAGCTATCACGGGCGCGGAGTGCTAGATGGAATTTACAGTACTCGATGATTGTCGAGAGACACTTGGAAGAGACGTTGGGGAGCGGAATGGGTTCATCGGAGGCGTCGGGATTTTCGTCAAAGAATGTTTTCACGGTGCCGAACTCCATGGCCACTGCTTCATCCACTTCGAATTCGTGATTATCGGCGGTTCGGAGGGTTATTTTGTTGTTGACGGGAACCGTTGACATTGTGAGGGTGGGTGTGTAGGCAAAAGGGGATAATTAGGGTTAGGGATTCGGATGGGAGTCGAAGATTTTGAGAAATTTGTAGGTAGAATTCGTTGGGACTGAGAGAATATATATAGCGGCCCATTGACTTGGGAAATAAGTAAATTATTAGAGTACTAATTCGATGTAGTTTAGAATTTGTATTTCTAACTCTAGAGTAGTATCTTAAAATATTTAAATATTAAATAAATTTATTAAATCATCTCAATAGGTAAAGGAGTGTTAGCTTCTCTTACAATATTGAATTTGAATAATTGTGTTTGTATAATTTATTGTCGTTGTTAATATATACTACATTATTTTCATCACAAATTATTAAAAATGACATTAATTTCAGTAACATTGGATAAAGGTATGCTTAATTAGATGCACTTTATTAAATTCACCTCTAATTGGAAGTACGTTTATCATATATGTCAGAATAGATTTTTTTTTATTAGATGATAGAAAAAGACACAGATTATGATATGTGCCTTTCAAAGAAATGTTATTTTAATTATTTTAATTTGTGAAAAAAATTAAATATATGTTTTTTTGTATTTTAGTGAATTATTTTATTTTATAATCTTAATTTATGCAAAATAATTATAGGTGAAATAATTTATGTCTAAATAATTGATAATAAATTAATTCATCTTAATAAGTATTTGAACTTGTGGTTAAATACTTGAAATACTTATATTATTCAATATAAATACAATTTTTTACATTAAATTAATGAGATTAATTTTTATACTAAAACAATAAATCTCTTACAATAATTTCTTTGTGAATCAATTATACAATGAATTCTTAGTCGATTATGCATTTGATTTCTTTGTATCAGACGATCTTCAACAAGATCATCATCGTCAGCTATAGTTTGTCCAACATCACCATGTATTAATAGGGTAAATTAGTCAATTGATGTGTCTGAGTCATAAAATGATGGATGATGACATAAGAATAATATTTGTGGATGTTGAGTTAATCGATCGACGGAATAGGCCAATAGGGGGTTAATTGACAATAAAAATATCGGTGGAAGCTTTTGTAGAAAATTGAAAATATTTGCACAACGATTTAGAATGGTTCGACTTTCTCAACCAAAGTCTACGTCCACTACCTTAGCTATCCACACTAAGGATTTTTCCACAAATTCACTAATTTGTCTTTCTTTTGAGGACAAAGAGTAACCTTACAAATCTCTCAAGAATTATACCCCAAATTCTTGAGAACACTCTCTCCCAAAGAGAACAGTACAAATTTTGCAAACTTACAAGAAAATCCTCACAAGGAAAGATGTTTGCACAATTCTAGAACAAAGAAAGAACACTCAAGAATAATGCAATTGAACACAATAAGTGTTCTTGAAAGCAAAAATGAATATTGAATGAAATAGGCTTGAAAATGCTCAAACTTGAGGTTTGATGCTTTCTCTTTGATTCTCTCTTGATTCTTGATAATTGTTGTTGATCAATGGCTCTTAAGCTTGTTTAAATACACCTTGGATTACTTCTGAACGTTGGGGGATCATTAGTGGAGTCAATAGAGCCGTTATTGTGTGAAAACAATTAATAAAACAGTTGGGAGCGTATGGTGCATCGATGCATAGGCAATGTGCATCGGTACACTATGTGTAAAATTCAAATATTTCGACCGTTGGAAGACTTAGTGCAATAGTACACTAGGGCTGCATCGATGCATAAAATACATTCGATGTTTCAAATAAGCCTGGAGTGCATCGATGCATGGTCTGTGCATCGATGCATAAAATGCATTCGATGTTCAAATTATTTAGGAGTGCATCGAAGCATGCCTTGTGCATCGGTACACAAAATGCATTCGAAATTCAATTTATTCAAGGGTGCATCGATGCATTATATAGTGCATCGGTACATTACTCTGAAAAATTGATATTTGGCTCGTTTTTGGTTCAAAATACTTTGTGAAAATTGTTTCAAAAATATTTTAAGATTAAAACACAATTTTATACTTTAGTAAGGATTTGAAATTGACCTTTTAAAGACTTGAAGTAATATCTTGAAATTCGAGTAAATTGATTCGAATATACTTCGAAAATGATTTGTAAAATCTTAAAATTTATTTATACTTATTTTGTTATATCGAAACATCAAAAATGTTTTCAACAATCTTCCCCTTTTGATATAACAAAATATTTGATTAATTTTAAGATTTTTCAAGAAAATCATTTTCGAGATCAATTTTGAAAATTTACTCCCCCTTACTATAACACATCTTCTCCCCCTTTTTGTTAAATCAAAAAGACTCCTAAAACATTTTGAAACAAGGGTTTTGAAAACTCAACCAATTGATATTTAGAAATTTAAAACCATAAGCTGCTAAGATCACAATCAAGAGAAACGTTAGCCATAAGTTTCATAATCAATATTCATAAACAATGTGTAATGGTAAAATTGGTCATATTGCAACTAATATGTAAATGATGCAAAAACGAAATAAACATTTAGCTTATAAATTCAAGCAAACCAAATATATATATTAAGTTCAAACATCCATAATATCCAAACATTCAATCCAAACACATCAAAAGTTTGAACAATTTAAGGCAAGAAAATCCAAATATTAATCAAAAGTTTAATTCAGGCAAACTAAAGCAAGATAGGTCTAGTCGTCCATAGGAGGATCGAGAGGAGGAGGATAATGTGCTCGCACTTCAAGTGTGAGAGGATCCATACTTTCACGTATCTCCCGTTGAAACTCAGTCAGTTGAGACTCCATGGAAGCAAACCGTAGATCAAATGACTCCATAAATGATCGAAAATATGGAGGCATTTGTTCCTCTTGTTGTGCGGGTGTCGGCTCATCGTCTGGTACGTGATCGTCTATATGTTGAAAAAGTTCTTGAAGTTCGAGATCATCGCCTGCTGCTGGTGCCGGAGGAGGCAGAGCTCGTGAAGAGCTAGCTCCCGGAGTTGGGTCAGTGGGTTTATATTCCCATTGACCCGTTTCCTTATCATTTTTCCATCCCGATTTCTTTAAGGAAGTGAGATTCATTTGGTTTTGGAGAGGGATGTGAATGTCAACCGAGACCTTAAGCCCTAGTTTGATAAAAAGATTAGAAAGAAGACAACCGTAAACTAAAGTTTCTATATTTTTGGAAGGGAGCAAATTAATTTTCTTATTATGTTGGATACAATGTATCCACCATAAATCGATGACTCTAAGAGTGTAGTACCTACCTCCAGAATTGTCTAAACCACCAAGAGATCATTAAATGAAGAAATCAGTCATGATGTGTTTGTAAGGTACTAACACTATCCTTAGACTTATATGGTGTGTCCATAATGTCTCTTTCATTATCTATACTGGCATCGTCTAAACCAAAAGCATTAGCGATAGTTTCCGAATTGATGAAAATGAATTCTCCTAAGAGATATGATCGTATGCCTATGGTTTCGGTTTTACTTGCATTTTGGACACAAACTGCATTAGAGTATAAAATGTGGACTAATTGTTGATAGACAATGGGCTTAATTTGGCACAATTTATCTAACTTCCAGGAACGAAGGACAGGAAGATATTTGAAGTTAATATCCTCCATTGTTTGAATGGAATGAATATGTTCCTCTCGGATTTTGTAAGATTGAAAATAACTAACCAACCTATCATATAATTCATCTCGACGATGACTGGGTTGGTTGAAGCAAGAATTAAGAATGGTTAATTCGAGCTCATTTGGGTTTGGATTTTGTGGTGGAGAAGGGATAGGAGGTCGATTTTGACTTGAGCGACTAGACGATGTCCTAGGTCATTTAAGATTAGACATTGTTAAAGAATCGGAATGGGATATGTAACTTGCAAATTTAAAACACATTTATGCAATAAAATCAATCCCAAAACTCAATTGAGTCTATAATAGTCAAGGTTCTCTAAACCGAATCCTAATGGGCAAAGTTTGGAAAACTATTTTGAAAATAATGTTTGAAGATCATAATATGTATAGTTTTCATGAAAACAACATAAGTGAATCAGAAACATCAATTAAAACAATAATTTTAGAATTTTTTATTTTCAAAAATAATTTTAAGAAATTTAGTGTTTTTGATGAAATTGGTTGTAAAATCTAGTTTCTAAACACTAAACAATCAATGCCCAATAATTTGTTCAACCTAGAACTAATCAAAACTAATCCTAAGTTCAAAAATTAATAAAACATGGGTTTTAGAAAATATTACCTTAGAAATTTTGATTTGAGTGAGAATGTGATGATGTTTTGCATGATTTAATAATAGTAGCAAGATTAGGAGATAAGAAACAAGTAATTTCTTACTTGAAATGAAGTTTTTGAGAAAAATTTTGAGAGTAGGGTGAGAGAGGGACGAACGGTGGCAAAGAGAGCTTTGAAAGGTTTTTAGAGAATGAAGAAGAAATAGGGATTTAATACCCAAAACCCGATGAGTATATCAATGCACAACAGAGTGCATCAATGCACATTCAAGAGTGCATCGGTGCACCTTCAAGGTGTATCGATGCATATTCAAAGGATGCATCGATGCACTGTAATATCCCAAAAGCCGGGTCAGTGACTAAAATGTAAATTTTGGAAACTTTGTGCTCAATTCTGAAATAAGCTAAAAGTTCATGGACTTAAGTAAAGGATTTTGGATTAAATAGTAAATATGGATAAACTAAAGGGGTAAAATGGTCTTTTTATAGGAAAGATTTTTATCTTCCCTTTGAGTAATATAAAACGTAGAAAATGTGAGAAACTTTCCAGACTTCTCTTCTTCTCCTTTATTCTTCATGTGGAAGCCAAGAGTAAAGGTAAGATTTCTTATTGGCTGATATTTAGCTGAATTTAAGATTGAGTTATGATCATTAGATGATAGAAAAGCTTAAGGAATGCGTAAGTTAGCTTTTAAACAAGGAATGAAAGAGTTATAAGAGATTAAAGGTTTGGAGTTTTTGAATGAAATATTGGAAAAGAGTTAGTAATTGAAGTTGGAAGTAAAATTTGACTTGTCATCAGTCAAAATAAGAAATTCAAAGTATTGGAAACAAATTTAGAACATGTTAAGAAACTGGTAA